CCCCAACACACGGTACACGCACTAACATGCTTCAAACTCCATGTTGCTTCATGAAAATCAAACTAATCATGTTTAAGTGTTTCTAATGTTTTTACTGAAGTTTGTCACTTTTCCTGCACTTTATTCTTTAATGTTGGCAGAAATGTTTACATGTGCTTTACCTACTGAAACCGAACAAATCCTTATTTTTATGCACATCTGTGAACAGGGAAATATTGTTTGTTTGAATGAGATGAAAATGGGAATTGATGTAAACCGTTTAACCAGGGGCTTTTATTTTGAAAACTAGGGCATTACACAGCTTCCTCCAGTTCTTACCTTTAGTTTGACACCCTTATGAAAAATGAAAAATGTCAAAAGGCTTTTAAGGAATTTCGGGGGCAACTGTTAAGGTGCTGGTTATTATTTTTCATATTTTTTATATTCATCTTATTTTTTAAATGTTGCTGAGTTATTTAGGGAACCCATTCTGCTCATGCTTACCTCGGGCTGTGAGTTTGTTCAGCTTCTGCGAAAATAAAACTAAAATAAAAGAATCATTCAGAAAATGTCATTTCTCTCTTTTTATGAAGAACAGGAAACATCATCCAACAGCAACAACATTTCATAGAAAAGTAAATTTATTACCACAAAATAGGACTTCCTGTTTGTAGTGCATAAATAGGTTTGATGTGAAAACGGCACAACGTGGGAGGAGGGGGCATCTCCACGTCTGAGAGGTGAGCACCCGGGAGAAAAAAGGCACTGAAACAGTAACACAGTGTTATTACCCAGAATCCTCTCTCTGCCACCACCGACCCCGGCGCCTAGACCAATCAGGAGGCTTCATCAGCACCGAGGAACGTGTGGCGCCCAGAGGTCACAGGACGTCTTTAAAAACACAAAGGTTTCATTTTTTTATACATTTTTCTCTGTCAGCTGATAAAACAGCTCCAAACCTCCAACATTGTGCTTCAAAATAAAATCACTTTTTTTATAAGAGACGCACTGAAGCCAAGCCATTCCTGTTTTTTTTAAAGTGCTTGAAATATATATTTTTAAACTCTGCAATCATCAGTTTTATGTCCACTAGTTTTCAGAGAGTCTTTAAAATAAGTCACATTTATTTTACTGCTTCCAAACACCCAGCAGAGGAAAATTAAGTTCAACTTCCTTTTAAATAAACTTTGACCTCCAGCTGCAGGAAGTAAAAGATCCGTCTGCTGTCGGACGCCACAGAGCTGCTGCTTAAAACCAAAACATCCAGTTCAAAACAAACCGATGAGGAAAAGCAACATTTCAGTGGAAATAAAATCAGATTTGTGTTTATCGTGAGCTCTGACAGGTGAATTACTTGTCAAATAAAAACCTGGAGCTTTGTGAGAATAAAATCACGCAGACGTACAAAATATATAAATACGTAGAAAAGATCTGTTTTGCTACACTTCTGCACCTGTGGTTATATTAACTGAGATGAAAAACAGTTTTTCATTAAACTGAGGAAGTTTTAGACCTTTTAGAAAATAAAGCTGACTGTTCCTCAGCAGCAGGAGGCTCTGATGAACAAACTCATTCTTGATATTTTTGGCAGAACAGACTTGGTCAGAGCAGGAAGGGAAGGCGTGTCTTTTTTTTTTCTGCACAAATATCTAAACATGTTACGTACATCCAGATTTTAAAAAAAATCTGCTACGAAGGACAGAGTTCATGTCAAAATAAAGTCCGGACCAGTCTCCTTCCTTTGGCCTTGATTCGAGGAAATGTGGCGCTCGTCTCCGTGCTGATTGGCTGCAGGCCGAGCGGGGCGTTCCCACCTTTCCTCTTCAACAGGAAGTCCACGCTGGCTGAAGTCATGGCGTAGAACACGTTTCCTGTGGCAGGAATGACCAGCTCTGCATCCAGAGGACAGGCACTTTAATAAATATTTATTAAATATGAAAGCTACTTTTTTATTATTTCACATTTTTAAATATTTAAAACAATAAGTGCAGATTTTAGAGGTGAAACAATCTAAGCTTTTATCATCGCGAACATTTTTCATCAGACAGAAGTGACAGTTCATTCAGACACAAAACTTCCTGTTTTGTTACTCAACACCACAGCTTTATTTTGAAATGCTCATCTTTGACAGCCTTACTTCCTGTTTTGATCACTTTTACACCTGCGTCCAAAAAACGTTACTTTTCATATTGTGATATCCAGTCTTCAGCAAACAGATTTTATACAGTTTGTCCAGTTTTATCTGTATTTATAGTATATTGTATGATGTACGTATTTATAAATATGAATAAATCCCTTATTGTGAAACTGTTTTTTACCTTTTCCTTCAGGCAGAAGTTGGATCAGCTCATATCTGGACGCCTGTTTGGGGTCCTGATTGTGCTTCTCCAAGGCGGCACTGATCACAGCGGGGGTCTTATCGTTGCTCGTGACCTGGAAGAAACAGGAGAGCATGAAGAAATAAAATATGGCCTCCAGAGCATCCTGAGGAGCTGACTCTGATCGTTCAGGTTCTGCAGCCTCTCCCTGCTGGTTTGGGTCTGGTACCAGTATGCTTCGGTACAGGTTTCCGTCATGCAGGTCCATCCGGATCCTGACGATCCGCATGTCGGGCCCGGACCCCTGGACGTGACCCATGGGGTTGGTGCCACACGACGCAGACCGGCGGTGGGACTTTGTGGGAGAGGACGGAGTCAGGGAGGCGGGGCTGGACTCGTTGGTCGGAGGGGACGTGTCCACGTCCAGGCAGGAGACGGACGGAGACCTCATGTGCTGCAACAGGAAGGACACAGAGGGTCTTCAGAATTTAACACGAACGTAGGACTCAGACCTAAACACAAGTTTGATAAGAATTACTAATAAAAACATTTTCTGTAAAAAGGCAGCGAAAAATCTGAGAACTGAAGAAGTTAGCTAAAATACAAAATAGGACATTTTAGCTAAAATCTAACAGTAACAAAAGAAAACTAGATAAAAGTATCAAAAGGATAGCTAAAAGCTAATAGTACCAAAAGGTGCAATACATAACTTAAAAGCTTTAAATAACAAAAACCTTTAGCTATTTTTAATTTTGGACTAAACGGTAGCTGAAAGTAGGTTAGCTAAAAGCTAATAGTAACAAAAGGCTAGCTAAAAGGAGCAATAGATATGCTAAAAGCTTTAAATAACTAAAACCTATAGTTTGAAAATAAATGTAGCTAAGAGCTAGTTGAAAGTAGGAGGTTAGCTAAAGGCTAATAGTACCAAAAGGCTAGCTAAAAGGAGCAATACATGTGCTAAAAGCTTTAAATAAAAAAAACCTTGTTTGAAACTAAAAGTAGCTAAAAGCTAGTTGAAAGTAGAAAAATAGCTAAAAGCTAATAGTACTAAACGAAATGCAGCAAAATGTTAGAAAAGGACAAAACAAGGCAGTAAGCTGAAGCTGATTTAAAACAGAAGAAGAATTTTGAGGGAATTGAAGAGCTCAATACGTTTCTGTAGAAAATATCAGTAAATAAAGTTTAATATTTTGAAAAGAACAAAAGTTTCGAAAACCAAATTCACCCTAAATCAGCTGAACATTTTGATAAATGAACATTTAAAATACCACAAAGTTTGCAAAAGTATTTCAACTACAAATAATGTACAGAAAAATAAAAAATGAGAAAATAAGAAAACAATGTGAAAAGCTAAAAACCAGCTTCAGTGAATTACCTTTGTGAGTTTAGACAGAAAGTTGTTGACCGGAGAGTGAAAATAAAACAGACTGTCGTTGTCAGTAGCCAGGCTGCTCCGGGAGGCACTCAGACTGCAAACAAACAAACAAACAAACAAACAAACAAACAAACAAACAAACAAACAAACAAACGAGGCTGTAAACAACTCAGATAACCACACACAGGCAAACTACACATTTTCCTTTTGATTTTATTTTTAATAACTTGCTTTGCGAAATCAAGAGTGCTAAATTTTGTCTTCATATATAATTTAAAAAATGTCTGACATTTAACAGGTAGTTCTGTGCTTTTATTGTGAAAGCTTAATTCCAAACCTTCCTGGTTTATACGTCAGAGTCTCAGTTGTACCAGTCAACATGTACATTAATTATACATGTCTGGATAATAACAGGTCCTTAGAGACTAAATTAAAAGATCAGCAGAGCCTAACAGGTTCTGAGGAAACTAACCTGCAGCTGTGAATGAACATTAACAACCGAGGCTTCTCCAACATCTACCCACAAGTCTCTGATTTAAACCTTTATGTTCGTGTGTGTGTGTGTGTGTGTGTGTGTGTGTGTGTGTGTGTGTGTGTGTGTGTGTGTGTGTGTGTG